CCCCCCCCACCCGCGCCGCCACAACCACCACAACAGAGACCACGTGCCGCGGGTGGGCGCGACGCCGGTGGTGACATGCACCTGCTGTGCCTAGCAAAGAGAATGCGCGCTCCCCATACGATGCTCTATTCGGGGAGTTTGATTCTCATCAAACAAACGTAATGCAATAGTAAGAACTTTTGCGTCCCACTATAGCATGTTACAGCTGCGTTCGTAGTTTTACGAACTCCCTGGAGCCCTCGGACACCACGACCACGAGTGCCCGTCGCCTACTCGTGCGCGCGCCGTGGCCGCCGCTGGAGGGCTTGCTTTGGGCTGTTGTGCCGGTCCAGCAGCCCGGCCCGGCTGCTGCTGGGGTCCGGTTTGCGTGCGGTGTGGTGGTGTACGTATATGCAAGGGGCGCGGAGCGGCTCCGCTGCTGGGGTCCGCCCGCGCCCGAAACACGTTTTCTGCCCGGTGAATATGATAAGCACATTATGATCGGTGTAGTATATGGCGTTGTTTACCAACACTCTATTACGCCTCGCGCGTCACAGCCCGGCCCGACCCGGCGGTCGTTCCCCCCGCGCGCCGCGCAAAGGCAGCTCTCGCGTGGCTGCGTCTTCTCGACGTGGCTCGCGGTCCGGTCCGCGCGCGGCCCCGCGGATGCGCTCAGCTGGACGATGAAATTGACCTCCACGTTTTGCGCGCGTCGTATTAAATTCATTCCGGGTGTGTTGTGCTCTCTTGCTTTGCCCGCCGTGATTAAAATAGGATCACGTCACCCGTCGTCGCGCGCGCTAAAAATGCGAGTCGGTCGGTCGGTCACCCCTTGCGCCGCGGCGAGGCGTGCTGGAGTGTCTTTAGTTGCGTGTTCCATTGAAGAAGTACATTTCTAGAACCATAAATCTTCTAACATAGTCCCACATATTTTTTTTGGAGGTAAATGGTCATTTTTACCCAGACGAGGTTCAACTTTTCGATCCAACTTTTCAGCATCTCTATGCTTTGCAATCACTATACAACAGGTTGCTGGTTACTGGCTGGTTAACCCGCGTTCCTCTGTGGTTATAACTGTGTACGGCAGGCAGGAGTGCGCAGACGGGCTTGCTTGCCTATCGCCCCTGACCATGGCGCCTTGCGGGCCGAGCGAGTAGGCAACCCGTCCGCACCCAGGTATGCGGTACAGCATAACTACAGAGGCACGCGGGGTAAACCATCCGCCTGGTGTAATAGAGGTTTCATAGAATCCCCTCAATGGCATAGAGGTGGGCGTGAGGACGAAAGTTGACCGAGCGTTATTTTCCAGACTACGGAGAAGACAGTGGGCGCCGCATGCCTGCGCTGCTCGCTGCTCCTTATTGATAATCGGTGTCGAAACGAGCCCAGGTGATGTAAGGCGGACTGCGGACGGGAAGTCCGCATCGGATGACGGCCGGCGGCGGCGCCTGGCCAGCGCGCGCGGGGCGGGCGAGGTGGGGCGGGAGGCGGGCGCGGGACGCGACGCTGTCCCCGACCCCCGACCCGCGCGAGACGGTGTGTGAGCGTTCTTGGGAAACTGCGCAGGAAACTTTGGTGTCGGAGAAAGTCCGCGCGCGCGCCCGCCTAGACCCGCTGCGCTGTCACATCGGGGCGCGGGACCTCCTCCTCCTCGTCGGACCTTCCCGATCATCGTCGTGGTCCTCCTCCTCGCCGTCGACGGTCGACGGTCCTAACAACCGTCAAGTGAAAGATAGGCCGGAACACCGCACCCCCTCCCGCCGTGTGTCGTTGAATTGGAACGAATTAGAATCGGATGTGAGAGTCGGCTTGAATAGCGCATACCTCATCGGATCAAACAGACGCATGCCGCCGCTGCGACTGGACTGGACAACTGACTTGACTCCGTAATGGTGTGGTTGTGTGCGTGATTGTGCGACGTGCGCGGCGGGGTGGTACTAGAGAGACTGTCCAGTCTCTCTAGGTGGTACCGGAACACTTGTCGTGTCGTGGTGCTACAGGTTTGCCTACTCGTCCCACTAGTACTCGTCCCAGGCACCACGGGCTCTGATTGGTGTGTGCAGGCACACACAAGGAGCTTGGGGAAGATGGCGAGCGGAAAGACGAGGAGACGCGCAACCCTTTCCTCCTTCCCCTTGGCGCCTCTCGCGCCGCGGCGGCGGGCACACCGCGCTCTGCCACGCCACGCCTCGCCACGCCTCGCCACGCCACGCCTCAGTGGTTCAGTGAACTAGGCGCGCCTCTTCGCCTAGCTACGGCTGTGCCGCCGTGGGCGTGCCATGGGCTGCCATGGGCGCGCCGTGGGCGTGCCGAGGGGCGTGCCAGGGGCTGGAGAGCCTGACCCGTCTCTCCCACTCCTCTCCGCCTCGCTTCCCTCTTTTCCTATTCAGCGATGATTCGCGTTCCTAGACGAGTTTCTAAGCGAGTCGAGCTTAAGAGCATTATAGCCGGCGGGCCAGCAGCAAGGTGGGTGGCGGGGCGGGGTAGAGAGGGGGCGGGTCCGTCAGAGAATGTGGAGCTTGTGGTGGAGCGAATCAGAATGATTTGTTGATTTGTTTAGTCGGAATCGGATTGCGCTGTGTAAGGATGGCGTGCCAACACATCGCGTCTGTCTGCGCGGTGTGATGTGATCTCTGCCCTCCATTGTGTCACGTGCCCGATGATGGTGTCCGCAGAGTGGCGGGTGGCGGGGTCGGAGGGGCATTGTCTCTGCACCGCCGCTGACTGGACTGCCTTGCCGGCCCCGGCCCGCCCCCGTGACCTCTGTGCCCGAGCACCAGCGCCAAAGCCAAAATAACCACGGTGCTTCGCTGCCCTCCTGTTCCAGAGCCGAGACGGAAGACTGTGCAGGACATTCCGGGTCCATGGCCTTCCCTGCCGGTGCTCGGCACGCGCTGGATCTACTCGCTGGGCGTCTACAAGATGGACAAGATCCACGAGGCCTACGAGGACATGTTCAACCGCTACGGCCCCGTGGTGCGGGAGGAGGCGCTGTGGCAGATCCCTGTCGTGTCCATCCTGGAGCGGTCCGCCATCGAGACGGTGCTGCGCAGCTCGACCAAGTATCCGCTCCGCCCGCCCACCGAGGTCACTGCCCACTACCGCCAGTCCCGGCCGGACCGGTACACCAACCTGGGCCTCGTCAACGAGTAAGTCGACTTCTAGCGTGACGGTGCGGGAAAAGTCCTCTTGTAGCAGATTTCGTTATTGTGACTTTGTGCGCAGGCAAGGGGAGACGTGGCACCAGCTGCGGTCGGTCCTCACCCCGGAGCTCACCAGTGCGAAGACCATGCTGCGTTTCCTGCCGGAGCTCAACACTGTTGCTTCCGACATGACCACCCTCCTTGCTGCCAGCCGGGACTCGAATGGCGTCATCACCAGATTCGAGGAGCTCGCCAATCGCCTTGGGCTGGAAAGTGAGTGAGCCACTCATAGTACAGCAGTGCTAGATGGAGCCACTTTCCCTATGTTTCTAGATTGGCTTCGAGATTGCCACTTTTGCTCGGATTGCCTCATAAATTGTAATGTAATTTTTTTCCAGGTACATGCACTTTGATTTTGGGACGTCGTATGGGGTTCCTTGATGAGAAAGTAGACCCACAGGCCGCCAAATTAGCAGCTGCAGTTAAAGTACACTTCTGTGCTTCAAGAGACACTTTCTATGGTCTTCCCTTTTGGAAGGTAATGCCAACCAAGGCCTACAAAGAATTGGTGGAAAGTGAAGAGACCATTTATGAGTTAGTGATTTTTTTTCTTTTTCTTTTGGTATCTATTGTACGCCTTGCAGAGTACGTTTAATATATGTATTTCTTTTCTATTTAATTTCAGCATTATCTCTGGTCTTGTGGATGCAGCCCTAGCAGAAGAGCAGCAAACTGCTCAAGTAGATGCAGTTCAAAGTGTTTTTCTTGCAGTTCTTAATGCTCCCGAATTAGATATTCGAGACAAAAAAGCAGCCATAATTGACTTCATTGCAGCTGGAATCCAAACTGTACGGACATTTTTCAAAAAAAATGTAAATTTAGTTTTTCTCCAGCAGTTTAGCATAACAGTATTTTTTTGTCTTCTATTATAGCTTGGAAATACATTGGTGTTTGTTCTGTACCTTATTGCAAAACATCCACATGTCCAAAAACGTCTCTATGAGGAACTCATTGCTGCTGCTCCAGCTGGAAGCCCCTGGACTGCCCAAAATTTACGGAATGCCCCTTATTTGAAGGCTTGCATTATGGAAGCATTCAGAGTTCTTCCAACTGCCCCTTGTGTAGCAAGAATTATTGATACTGATATGGTGCTCAGTGGATATCATTTGAATGCTGGGGTAAGGGATATATAATTGAGTTTAGTGACTTGCAGTTTGATAAAAATTAAAAAAAAATCTATGTTCTGCAGATTTTTAACTACTCTGCACACTAATTTTTCTTTGTATACCTTGCAGTCTGTTGTGTTGTGTCATACGTGGCTGGCTGGTCTAAAGGAGAGCAATTTCCCTGCCGCTCATGAGTACAGACCAGAGAGATGGTTGAACGGAGGACCTGGCTCTGCTGCAACATTTTTAGTTTTACCATTTGGCTGTGGCCGTCGCATGTGCCCAGGAAAAAGATTTGTTGAACAGGCACTGCAAGTTGTAGTTGCCCAGGTGAGCAAACATAATTACTTTATTTCTTTAAATTGCATTATTTCAGTCTGATAAATTCTGCTACAATTTTTTATTTTTACAGACCATCCGTGACTTTGATGTCGGCTTTGATGGTGATTTGGGCCTTCAGTTTGAATTCCTATTAACACCTCAAGGACCAGCTAGTTTTACATTCCGTGATAGAGTTTAGTAACAGAATGGCACTTGTTTTAATTTGTGACTATTGGCTGTTAATTTATATTTGCCTTTCCTGACTATATTTTGGTTTTAGTCTCATATGACATGAGTCCATGCTCTTTTTAATTAATGGCTTCTGATATTTTTAAAAGTTAACACATTCATTTGCTTATATATTTTTTA